AATAATTCACTGATAAACTAGTGCTTTCTTTGTTCTCGGTTTAAGAGATGAAGTCGGAGACACTGACACTGACTCGTCATCTCCACAGTAGTGGATGCATCTGTATGCATGTTTCACACGGATTACATAATCTGAGAATATTTGGTTTCCATTTGAAAGTAAACATTTCACTCTCCATTGATATATTTTTAATGTCTGTAAGGCAAAGACATACACTGAGTTTCGTGCTCAAGTTCACAGAGACCGAGACGGCAGAAAGCGCATCTTGTTTGCTTTCATTATTTTACAAAAGCACGCTTTGTTGTTATTGTGAGTGCACACAAATAAACGTAGAGTCTTTGCAGATTTAAAAGATGCATTACTCTTATCTGTATGACCAGAAATTAGCATTTTAAGAGCAAGTGAGCACACCGGCGCCTCCATCTGTCCTGCAGTGAGAGCAGGGCTTGCAAAATCGCTAGCCCGATGTCCAGGGGCTATCGTTTTCTCTAGTGAGGCTACCAAAATGCATCACCACTCTGCCTGACGGGTTATCGTAAATGCAGATCTCCCGCGGGTCCTTAAAATCTCCTTTGTATCAATGTATCAAATTTAAGGCCATAAAAAGTTTTAAATACGTTAAATGGTATAATAAATGTCTTAATTATAATTTCTTACAGTTAGTTGGGGATTGAAAGACAAGAGTTGCGAATCGCAATGCGGCTGGATTAAACTTCAAAAGGCAATGATGTCATTGAATAAATATAAGCGCTGCACGTTTCTAGTCAAAACCATAGACTGTATAAAAACAGGTCAAAACCTGCTACAGCCATTACCGGGGAAACCGCAATATTTCAGTGCTCCTAAAGCACCACCTCGTGGCAGAGAATGAATTTGCATTTACAATAAGCCTTTCTGGTGGTTTATGGTCAGATCAATGTAAATATCAACTCATGTTTTTACGCAGCAAACACAGAGTTGTATATAAGAAAGAAGTTAGTGTGCCTTCTAAAAATCTAAACAATTAAGACAGTAATAGTATATTTATACGTTTTAAATTAATTTATATGCTTGATTTATCCCTTTTCATAAAAATGGTCTAAAGGCTGAAATGCTGTTGTATAAGATTTTTTGTTTTTGTGAAAACCTGTATCTGAACTGTAAATCATGTAATTTTATGGCTCAGTACTATATGTTACTACAGACATTGTCCAATCCCACTCATACTGTTTAATTTTTTTGTGCAGCTCTTAAAATGGGTCATAAATTGCCATACATTCATTTTTAAAAATTCAGCAGATACCCTGTAAATAGTGAAAGAAAATTCCTTCCTTCATATCTGTTGATATTTGTGTATTGAAAATATTTTTCAATACACAAATATTTACCTATCTGATTTTCTCTCTCTCTCTCTCTCTCTCTCTCTCTCTCTATATATATATATAT